TCCCACACTGTGCTTGGCACAAGTGGCAATAATGTCACAGTAGCATCTGCCTGGGTTCTGGCATCTAGCAGGACTGAGGTTAAATTCTAGCTCTGCCACTTTAGCCATGTGACCTTGAGGCAATTACTTAGCGTTACTAAGCCTCAGTTTCTATATCTGTAAATTGGGAATAACAATGTTTTCTAATTTAGAGGATTTTTGTGAAGGTTAGGGTTAATGCTTATAAAATATTTAGTACAGTGCCTGGCACCTAATTAAGGCTCAATTTCAATACATGGTAACTTTATTTTATTTACTTTATTGTGATAGTGTGTTTTGTCCCCCTTTTTTGAGAAATGGCATTGTCTAGGCAATGATTCTTAATTGTTTGCGTATTACTTTGGATTTTTGCCATGTCTGTTTCTACCTTTACTATTATTTATTTAACATGCACTAATTGACTTTTTAAAATAAAACTTAAATGCAATAATCTTGCAAATAAGACCAGTACAATAATGGGTTTGGGTGAGCTAGTGCTTGGGCTATGGTAAGTTTGCTACAAATGAGAGCTACCATCACTATCAATATTGACATTGAATGACAGTTTTGCATTCTACCTGGGAATTTGCATTGACTCATTTCATTTTTTTTCCTTTTAGAATCAAGTCTCTTGCATTCTTTCTTATTTACTTATTTACTTTTCTTTCTTTCTCTCTCTCATTCATTCAGTCTTTCTTTTTTTTTTTTTTTTTTTGCTATTATCTGTTCTTTAGCAATCTTGTATTCCCTTCCCTGAATGAAGTCACATCTTTGCTCCAGCATGAGCTAATTGATGTCTTCTTCAAGTGATTTGCTTGGCTAAGAATTTCATGCATAATATCAGGGGATTTTTTTTTCCCCCTCTGTTAAATAACTTGGGCTCCGACAGATTACAAGGAAGTTGTTACTCAGAGCTGAGCACTCAAAACTGCTTACAGGGAGCAGTGGAAATTCCCTTTCCTTGCCTAAAATAACTGGAACTGAGGCACAACAATATAAGCTTTGTCCAGGCTTGAAACAATATCCTTTCCAAGTGAATTTTTTACGGAAATGCTTACCAATATATGGTGGTAGTTCTCACTGACAGGCTAGAAAAAGGTTAGTCATTCTGTGTGCTGTAGCTAAAAGGGCCATTGTTGACAACAATGGCCCTGGAGGAGGGAAGTTTAAGCATGTGCATGTAGTAATATCGGACTTACCTGACTCCTCCCTGCCCCTTAGCCCATTTGATTTCTTTGCTATCAAAAGAATCTAATTCTGGAAACAGACATGCTCTCCATGTATTTGATTACTTTTATTGCAGGTATGTTCGTGACAACCTTCCTCCAAACACTCCCTAGCCGGCTCCGAGGAAATGAGAGAAGGAAATGCTCCAATCCTTACAGTGGTGCAGAGCGCAGAGTAGCTGACTCAGACGAACGTCTGTGAGTTCAAATTCCACAGCAGTTTTTAATCCCATCCCCTGAGCTAGGTCACAAGGTTCAAAATTAGAGCAAGGGCAGGTGTCTAGACTGTGCCGACTCAGGGTATAATGATGTGGGGATTGGTTTGGATGAATATTTTGACCCTGAAATGTTATTCTGACTATTGTAGATGATTGCCCAAATAGATTGGGCAAGATCTTGTGAAGTGCTTCACTCTCTGTTTATTTTTTTTTTTAATTTATTATTGAAAAAAAATTAAAGATAAGAGAAGGGGGCAGGCATAAAAGTGGAAATTCATAAGTAAACTTTTTTTTTAAGCTCCAAGAAATTCTGTTAATGCTGGTCATATTAGCTGGTGTTAAAATGTTTTCAAGGCCTGAAATCTATACATGAGATTTATTAAGATCCAGCACACATGCCAGGGGTATTTCCTTCTAAAGGAAGAAGGGGGTGGAGTGTCGAGGTCATTTTGATTTACGGGAGGTCTCTGTCCCATAGGAAGCTTGAGCTAGGGGGGTGAACCTGCCCTTCCCTCAGGAAAGGAGAATTCTTTTGCTCCTCATTGTATAAGTGAAGTTTACAAATTCATATTTTTTCTTATAGTACACTATGGCACCTACGACTATGGCAAGCCAACTATTGCATCTGCTATTCAAAGTAGTCAGCTCTGGGCTCCACTGTAACTCTTACATGAATGCCCAAGGAGACCTGAGAAGAATCCACCTGGCAGCACGGTTGGTCATGGTAAACAACTAGAGACGCACAAAAGGGCCAACAAGGGGAGAATGGGTTCTGGGTTGGGTGTGCGCTCTGTGTATACCCAGTGAGATTCTTGCCTGGGACTTTTGTGTGTGTGTGTGTGTGTTGTATGTGTTTGTTTCTTTTGGACTCACCAGCTGTGCAGATCACCTAGGCCTGAAGCTACAGATGACTGCTTTGGCATTTTCTGGGAAAGAGCCTACCTGAAAATAATGCCAACCCAGAGGAAAGGAGAGCCAAGAAATAGAAAATGACATACCCCTGGTAACCCTACTCGTCACCTGGATCAAGCTGTGCCTGAAGCAAACTCGGCAGTAAACTTGGCTGCTTCAGTGACATAAGGCGATACATTCCTTTTTATTCGTAAATCAGATTGAGTTATGTTGTTGTCACTTGCAAGTAAAGTAGTCTGGGCTGTTACACCCTCCTCCTTTTTACCCGAACTCTAATTGTATAGGTAAATATTTATTTTGGTTAATTACCAGACTGTGCAAGACAGAAAATCCACAACTCCAAGAATCCAGTGCTTAGGCTCATGTGTGCTCAAGGTTGGACTTTCATTTTAAGGAACTGGCCTGCTTCAATCCCAGATAATTCGTCTAAGCTATTCAAAATACGATCGAATAGTCATTTATGGCATTGTTTGGGATTGGCCAACCGTTTCAAATGTCAATATCTGTGATGAGTGCAAAAGATTTCTTAAACAATCAGCTTTCATAACAGAAATGCAAACTCACCCTGAATCACCCATTGGCTAATAGTTCTTCCCCCCCTTTGTGATGGCTATTCACCCATATTTTGAGTTTATGGTAAACACACACTCCCAAGTATCTCTTCTTAATGAGCCTCTATGCAATGCTCTGGCACGTGGGATGTTGTCCGTAATCCTGTGGCCCAGGTATATCCAGGTACCCATGTCCTGTAGCTGCCCACTGAGTGAGTGGTGATTTCGCCATCAGAAGCATAAGCTTTTGACTTGTTTTTCTTGTAGAGATAATACTTTATGCCAAGCCACCACGGAACAGCATGCAACCAGGAACAGGGATGAGCTGTCAGAGATGCAAAAGGAAAATTTTGTAAGCCGGTTGCATAACCATCACTCCCTCTTTGCGACTGTGCCTAAGAAGACTGTCTTCCTTTTCCACCTTTCCAGAGGCTGTGTGCCCTCAGGGAGCAAGTGTGCTGGGCATCTAATCTCCTCCAAGAATATGGACACTAAACAGGGACAGGACCCAGGACCACACAGAAGCTGGGAGAGGTTGAGGCCAGGCCGTGCCCACTCAATGAGGCTTCTTGCATTTCAAGAAAATAAAAATGAAGAAATGCCAAAACAGGGTTTACCAAAAATTATGGAATTTTTTCCATGTTTACATTAAACAAAAGAAGATCTTGAACATACCACACACACACACACACACACACAGATTACTGTTCATCGTGATGACATTGTGCTGTTTACAGACTATAGGATTTACAAAACATATCTTAGAATGAGCCTGGGGCAGCACGATCTGTGGGTGGTACATAAGTGTGAAGTTGTCCTCCTACGAATGCAGCTCTGTGAATTCATTCAATCATTTTGGAGATGACATCAGACGGTGTGAGGCCTGGGCCAAATAACCCCTGGGCCCCCCACGGCCAGCCCCACTATGTGACATTAAATTAATAAAAAATTAAGATTTAAAAACATGATTAGGGCCGGGCGCGGTGGCTCACACCTGTAATCCTAGCACTCTGAGATGCCGAGGCAGGCGGATCGCTCAAGGTCAGGAGTTCGAAACCAGCCTGACCAAGAGCGAGACCCTGTCTCTACTAAAAAATAGAAAGAAATTAATTGGCCAACTAAAAATATATAGAAAAAATCAGCGGGGCATGGTGGCGCATGCCTGTGGTCCCAGCTACTCGGGAGGCTGAGGCAGGAGGATCGCTTGAGCCCAGGAGTTTGAGGTTGCTGTGAGCTAGGCTGACGCCAGGGCACTCACTCTAGCCTGGGCAACAAAGCGAGACTCTGCCTCGAAATAAATAAATAAATGAATAAATAAAAATAAAAACCATGATTAGGTTGTGCTTTCTGCTGTCTTGTGCTCTGCGATGTAATGGCAGCATCCCTTACTGGAGGACAACTCAAGGGGATTCCGTGACTGTTGCGTGGCTTTGCCACAAGCAGCTGTGCGGCTTGGGGAGGTCACCCTGCCGGGACTGCCCCACCTATAAAATACGCCGGTGTCGCACATGGCCTCGCACGTCCCTTCTAAAACTTTGTGATTACACCTGTTCTGTGTGTTCCTGGTATCAAGTACCAGGAACAGGATGGTGGGGAAAAAAACCTTACCCCACACAAGTCCGGTCCCTGCCCTCAGGGTGCGGGGTGTGGGGTGCAGGGTGGGGGTTGCGGAGGACAAATCGGGTGGAGACTATGTGTGGACGTTGATAATCAGCAAAAATACCAAGTATACAATGCAAGGGGAGGTAAGTGCTCCGAGGAACAAGGGAGCTAGACGGTGGTCGGGGAAGGCCTCTCCGGCCATGAATAGCCAGTGCTATTCTGTTCTGTCAGAAAGACGCTAAACACGGAAGTGCCATAGAGGGGGCGGAGGACCCAGCGGGCAGAGGGGCCGCTGGAGGGTCTGATGCACACAGGAAATGGCTTCCCCGTGGGTCAAGACTCAGAGAGGGGAGAAAAGGGAACGGAGACAGGACTCTGGCAGCGCTTGTGAGATGCCGTGAGGCAGGTCTGGATTTGGATTCTGACTAATCAGCCTCTTCAGCTGTCGACGGGGAGTGAGAGGAGGCCCCTCCTCGCGAGCAGGACATGGAGCAACGCCTCTAAAGAGCTCGGCGCGGACTGGCGCGCGAGCCGGTGCCCGGCCTGTGATCAGCACAGCGCTTGCTGATGGTTATGGACCACGTCGAGTGTGATCATACTTCCTGTGTGTGACTTCCTCTCCCCTCCCTCGGAGGAGCCGCACAGGCAGGCATCACTATGACCCCATTTCACGGATGAGGTGAGTGACGGGGTCAAGGCACGGGTGTTAGTCATCATGATCATTCGGTCTGCTGGCAACGCCAGGAGAGGTTATAATGACCCAACTGCTTAACAGGAATGTCAAGACCGGCAACAACCGCCTGGGCTTTTCTGGAGGTGGAAAGTGAAGAAACAGCATGTTTGACAGAAATGCATTCTGTCATCCAGCATGCGTGTGTTTTATTGAGGCATGATTTACACATACACAACACAACGCACCCGTGCTAAGTCTTGTTTTAAATTTTGACGGGATACATGCAGTCATCTAACCATGACCACAGCCGTGGCAAGCTCTGATTTTATTTCTGTCGTTACAATTTTGCCTTTTCTAGAATTTCATGTAAATGGAATCATATACTTTTTCTTTCACTGAACATAATGCTTTTTGAGAGTCACCCGCGTTCTTCGGTGTATTACCAAATTCCTTCCTTTTTACTGCAGAGCGATGTTCCGTCATAGGGATGGACCACAATTTATTTATTCACCAGTGGATGGACATTTGGGCTGTTTCTAGTTTGGGGCTATGAATAAGACTGCTATAAATGTTTGAGTACAAGCTTTTGTGTAGACATATGTTTTTATTTCTCCTAGGTAACGCCTCAGGAGTGGGACTGCTGGGTCATATGCTGAATGTATGTTTTACTTTGTAGGAGACACCAAACCGTTTGACAAAGTGGATGCAGGGTTTGCACCCCAGCAGCATTGCAGGAAAGTTCCAATTGTTCCACGTCCTTGCCAACAGCTGGTATGATCAATCTTTTAAATTTTAGCTATTCTAGTGGGTGTATGGTAATATCTCCTCGTGGGTTTTAATTTGCATTTCCCTAATGACTAATGATATTGAGCACCTGTACACACGCTTATTTGATGTTCTAATATCTTGTTTGGGTAAAAGTGTCTGTTCAAGTATCTTGCCCATTAAAAAAAATTATTTTCTTATTGAGTTGTAAGGAGTTCTTTATATATATTTTATATTAAGTCACATATATATGCTTTGCAAATATTTCCCCACAGTTTGTGGCTTGCCTTTCCATTTTCCTAAATAGTATGTTTTGAAGATTAAGAAGTTTTAATTTTTTTTCATTCATTCTTTCTTTTTTTTTAACAGACAGGGTCTTGCTCTGTCACCCAGGTTGGAGTGCAGTGGTGCAGTCATGGCTCACTGTGGCTTCAAACTCCTGGGCTTCAAGCAATCCTCCTGCTTCAGTCTCCTGAGTAGCTGGGACTACAGGTGAACAACACTATGTCCAGATAATTTTTTATAAAGAGTTTGTAGAGATGGAGTCTTGCTATGTTGCTCAGGGGGGGTCTTGAAATCCTGGCTTCAAGTGATCCTCCCGCTTCAGCCTCCCAAAGTGCTAGGATTACAGGTGTGAGTGAGCCACCAAGCCCAGTCAAAAAGTTTTAATTTTTAAGAAGACCAATTTATCCATTTTTTAATGATTGATGATTTTGTGCATTAAGAAATATTTGCCTAATCCAAGGTGACAAAGATTTTTCTCCTATGGTTTCTTCTAAGAGTTTTATGAATTATCTTTTATGTTTAGGTCTGCTAGGTCTGATCTATTTCAAATTACTATTTGATGTATGCTGTGTGGTGAGGGTCAAGTTCATTATTTTTGTATATGGATATCCAATTGTTCCAACATCATTTTTTGAAAAGACTACCATTTTTTTCCCTATGAAATTAACTCAGACCCTTATAATAAAAATCACTTGATCATATTTGTGTGGGTACATTTCTGTATGTTCCTTTCATCTATATATCTAACATTGTAACAATAACACTGTCTTTTTTCTTGGTTACTGTAGCTTATATTAATAGTAAGTTTTAAATTCAGTTAGTTGAAGTCTTCCAATTTTGTTCTTTTCGACATTCATTTAAGGAATGCCAACTATGTATACAGCTCGTCTCATTTGTTCAGTGATTCAGTCAAGAAATATAGAGCATCATTTATGTGCCAGGCTTGGATTTAGGTGCTGGGATACAGTGGTGATAAAAACATATAAATTCCCTGCCCTCCTAAAGTTTGTAATCTTTTAGGGCCAGGGTGTGTGTGGGGAGTGGGAACGATAATCAGAAATATGTATATGTTATGTTTGTGAGATAAAGACGGTGTGTGTGTGTTTGCAGTCAGACAGTAGTAAATGCCATGGAGAAAAATAAAGCAAGGGAAGGAGAAGGCATGTGGTCCAGGAAGGACTCTTGGAGCACGTCAGAGCTGAGCATAGTCACATGAAGTGAGGAGCTGAGCCGTGTAACATACACAGGGAATGGTGTTCTGGACAGAGGGGAAGAAAAGTGCCCAGAGCCCACGCTAAGTGGGAGATGTTCAGATGGGCTTTCTGCCCTTAGGGAACTTAAATTTGCGTGGAGGAAACAATCCAATGTTTACAAAGTTTCACTTTGTGGTCATTTCTATGAACAAAATAAATAAAGCTGGATGATAGTTGAGTTGAGACTTAAATGAGGAGACAAAGGTAAGTTACATGGAGCATTGGGTAAGAGCCTTTCAGGAGAGGGGATGGCATGTGCAAAGGCCCTGAGGTCAGAAAGGGCTTGGAGTGTTCAAAGACGAGAAGGACAGGAGATGAAGTGCGACAGGTGAACGGAGACCGGATGCCTTTAGGACTTTGTGAGCCAAGGCAAGGATCTGGATTCTGTCCTAAGTGGCAATGGACATAATTGTGTGCTTGTTACACAATCAATTCTATTCTATGACTGCTTTGATGTAAGCAGTGAGTGGCTGGCCTGTATTTTAGAAACTTCTGGAGTCCAGAGAAACCATGAGGGTGTGGCTGTGCCATCTGGCAACTTCCTGTGAGCCCTTAATCTGGGGGGATTTATGAAGATGCTCAGGGGGAAACGCACTTCACATTTTGACTGTTGAACTGTCTTCCATGCAAATAGGAGCTCTATTAGAATGACGAATGAGTTTTGGGGTATGTGTGTATGTGTTTGGAATTCTTAATCTTGATGAGTCATGAAGTGTATTTCCACATTTCAACTAAATGAACATTCTGTGTCTTGTTTATAGTCTTTCTCTGTCCCCAGCTTTTAAAACACTTTTTATTTGAAAATAAGTTCAAGCTAACCAAAAAATACAAATATAGAAGTAATAGAAAGCCTACTTGTATTGCCTTTAATCTATTAATATTTTAATATCCATTTGCTTGATCCTATAACGTGGAACATTCCCACAGCTTTTCTTTGTCTTTTATGACATTAGCATTTTTGAAGAATACAGCCAGCCCTCCTCCTGTTGTAATAGAATGTTCCTCCTTTTGTGTTTGTCTGATGTTTCTTTGGGATTAGGTAGGTATAGGTAATGCATTCTTTGCTGGAATTGGTAGGGCATAGAGCATATTGTATCCTTTTTGGGGTATCACATTTGGAGGTACACAAGATCTATCTGTCCATCACTGGTGGTGTTAAATACCTCCAGCCCTTAGTCCAATGTTTGTGGATGAAATGAAGTAGGGGAGGGAAGGAAAAAAGTTGAAAAACAAGAAGGCATGATTCAGCATTAAATTCTTGAGTCATTTGTGCTGCTGAATTAACCACGCAAAGCGAGACATGCACACGCATGCACACACACACACACATATAACATGCACATACAAGCTCAGTTCTACTTTACATTTTTTAGTTATCACCAAAGTCCTGTTTTAGCATAGAGGACATTGGAAGAAATAATTTGGGGATAATTTTCAAATTCTGCATTAGGGCTTCACATATAATTATTAATATTACTTCCTAATTATTCTTTGTGTCTTACAGAATTTGGTGCTATAGTTAGGAAGGTCTGTGGGCTCCAGCCAAGCATATGCATTAACCTAAAGTAGTGAGTTTTGGCCCTAGCAGTCCATTAAATTCTCCTGGATGTGTTTAACACCCAGTGCTATGCAGAACCCACCCAAGATCCACTGAATCAGAAGCTGAGGGTGGGACTCAGGGATGGAAGAATTTTGAAAGCTCTGCAGGTACTTCTAATGTCCTGCCAAGGTAAAGAACCACCAACTTACAGCTACGATTTTGGAGCTACAATGATCCCCAAAGGTTCTTTACCCTCTGATCAAGTGTTCCCTTTAATAGCTAACATACATTGAGCACTTACTGTGTACCAGGTTACGCCTTATGGACGTCCATCAATTTTGTTTTTGCAGCATCCATTTTTCCCTTCCTTGGGTAAAAGCCTCCCGATTTTCCTTTGGTTAACCCTCACCCCCTCTTCCAGCTCCTGTGAACTTTTGTGGTGCTGACCAGGCAGCCCAACTTCAGGGACGGACATTGATTCTCAACTTGGCAAACTGATTGGTTCACAAGTGGTCTAAGTTGGTCAAATGAGATTTGAGCTCAGGACTTTCACTGAAACTATTAGCAAAGGGATGTTTAATCTCTTCTGGGGTTTAAAACCAAGAGGCTGTAACTGTGGAGTCACCAGGGGCTACTACAAAGAAGGGACCAAACCAAGAGTGAATCCAACATAGAAGAAAGCAGAAAAGGAGGTGAACTGAGTGCATACAGTTTGAGCCCCTGGATCTAGCCATGACTGAAGCTATCAGCTCCCTAGATCTGCAGGCCAGCTGGCTGAGGGACATCACAGTCATTAATGTCCGTAGGCTCCAGCTCTTTCCTAGGTGGGGAGAGGGTGTGGGGATAATAGTGCTGACGTCACAGTGTGGCCCCAGGATTCAACTGCACATCCTGGTATGTCCCTTTGCAGCAGGTGGTGGCCGATGTCATTTTTAAGGAGCCTGTATAACATTTACGAAGGCAGTTAGGAAGTTGATAGAGGAGGAGCAGTGGATGTTTATAAAATGAAAAGTGTGTCTCCTTTGGCCCTTGCAGCATCATCTCTGCTTGGGGCACATCTGAGCAGGACATGAGTGGGAGGTTTGGGCTCTTACGTGCAAGGCCACTTTCCGAGTTCTCCTGTCCTCATCTTAGGCAGGAGCCATCACGCCATCCTTTTTTGCCTCTGTCAAATGTTGTCCATTCTCTGTCCCAGCCCTCAAATGAAGTTCAAAAGAGAAATATATTCCACTCTAAGACATAATTATATTTTTGAAAATAACACAAACGTTATGCATTATGGTTGAATTATTTTCTCTGGAGGTATTCTCTTCCTTTCTTGGGGAGGAGAACCCCTTCTTGGCTCTGCCTTGACTGTGACTCGTTGCCTGTTGAGAACTCCTGTGCTGAGTGTTCAAGTACCTGCCCTTCCTTCAGCTCAACACCCTGGAGGCAGGTCCTGCTCATTGGTCCCTGTTTTCCAGATGAGGAAGCAGAGACCCGGAGACATGAGACGTTTGTCTGTGGTCACTTGGCTGCATGTGTAGCTCTGACGGCAAGATTTGATCCCAGGTGGTCTTCTCTTAATCTCCAGGCTGTCTGTCTATCTATAGCTATCTATCTATCTATGTATCCTCTATCTACCTATCATCTATCTCTAGTTACTCATCCACACGTATGTATACATTATGTATCAGTCATCTATCTTACTACCATCTGTCTACCCCTACCTACCCATCTATCTGTCTACGTGTCTATCTGTCATCTCTCTGTTTATCTGGTCTCCTGTGCCCACCCCCTCACACTCTTTGTCTTTCACCCTGACTCTGAACTTCTTGGAGCCTGGTGCTATGTTTTCTGCAGGGTAACCTGATAACTTATCAGCCCATTGAGGACATTTAGGGGAGTGAAAGGAGGCACCGTTAATACTTAGGCGTAAGCTGGCGCTGCCCTGAGCACCCTGGCATACGTGGTGGCCGTGATGGTTAAGTGTGTGTTTCTCTCTCATTCCTTAGTGCCTCATGAGGGCCCCATGAAGGTGTGTTGAATGTGTTTTATCAACAGTCTCAGAAGGGAGGGTAAAAAAAAAATGCTGGTTTGTTTTATACAGAGAGAAACCACATTGCGAAGTGATGGCTTACAAAATCACAGAGCGGAAGTTAATGGTGAAACACATCCAAACGACTCCTGCAGAATTCCCAAGTTCAGACAGTACAAAGATCTCTCCGTCGAGCACTTGTGCGCAGAAGCTAAGCTCTGGGCCGCATGGAGGGAGCCTGAAGCCGAGAAATAATAAAATAGTAATAGCTGCCATTCGTTGAAGCTGCGCCCTGTGCCTCCGCTAAGCCCCTTTCCTGCACTTTCCCATTTATTCCTTAAGGAAGGTGCGATTGTTATAGAAAAGGAAAATGCGGGTACAGCTGTCCAGACAAACTGCCCACTGCTGCGCGGCCACTAGAGCCCAACAGATGGGGCGCGATGCTCTTTTTCTTCCTGAGAGGTGCCACAAGTCACCGTGCGTATTTTCCACTTAGAAGCCCCTTCAGTAAGTTTTCTGGAAATCTAAAAAGCGTAGTTAACATCCACTCAGCAGGGAGCTTTTTAATCTCATAAATACGTTCAATGCGCCAAAACAAGCAAATGAAATAAACCAGACTCACAGCTTGCCCCAGCACCTTACCACTTAGATACAGAGAAACAAATAAAGAACTAAGCTTAATAATGAATTAGCAATGTCCAGGCCGAGTCAAATCAGCTGGGACCACAGCCCCCTTCAGTAGGAGGAGCGGGAGATCACTGCAGAGAATAGAGCAAGAAGGGGGGGAGGAGGGAGAGAGAGAGGTACAGAAAGAGAGGGATGGGGGGGAAAGAGAGAGGGAGGAGAGAGGGAGGAGAGAGAGCACAGAAAGAGAGGGATGGGAGGGGTGAGAGAGAGAGGGAGGTGAGAAGGAGGGATGGGAGATTGAGGAAGGCAGGAGGAGAGAGGGTAGGGGTACGGGTTTGATGGGGAGAGAGGGAGAGGAGAGAGGGAGAGAGAGTGCGGGAGGGGAAAGGGAGAGAGAAGGCAGAAGAGAGAGGAAAGGAGAGAGAGGAAGAGGGAGGAAAAGAGGAAAGAGGAAGGAGAGGATGAGGGGATGAGGGAGGGAGGAGGAGAAGAGGAGGAAGGAGGAGAGAGGGAGGGTGAGGAGGTGAGAGAGGGAGGGTGAGGAGGTGAGAGAGAGGGCAGAGGGAGGGGGAGGGGGACAGAAGGAGGTTCAGGTCCGCCACTGTGGAGGGTGAAGGGGACACCTGAGCAGATACAAGTCCACCCCTGGCACCTGGCACCACCCCCTCCCCGCAGCCACCACCATTCTGTGCCCGCCGGCCGGAGGAGCGTGGGGCGCAGGGCTGACGGCGAGCCCCCCAAGAGCCAGGCCATCGCGGGCCCCGCTTCCCGCGCCCGCAGCCCCTGCCCGGCCGCCCCGCCCCGCGACGCGGGCGAAACGGAGCCGCCCCCGTCCCGCAGCGGGCGCGGCCTCGCGCTCTGCCCGCGTGGCCCTCGGGGACCGGTGTTATCCGGCACTCGACTGCCGCTCGCAAAAAAACTGTCACTGGAAGAAAGAAAAACAAAAGTGCCAGCGGTTGTTGCATATTGTTTCCCGAGAGGCCGGGCTGCGGTGCCCTCTGCCGGGCGCGGGCGGGGAGGCCCGCGCTGGAACAGACGCTGCGCGCGCACGGAGGCCTTCCCGTCGGGTCTGCGCCTCGGTCGGGGCAGAGGGCCCGTCTGAGCTGTTCCAGGCAAGGGAAGACACAAAACAAAACTGAAATCACCGACAAGTGAATCATTCACTGGCAGAGAACAGATATCTTCTTCACCTGGATTTTTCTTTCTGTTCCTGAAATTGTTGTGTTTGATGCGTGGGGGAGAGTCCGGGAGGGGAAAAGGGCAGGGGGGAGATTGCTCTATCTTGCCAGGTCACCCAGAGAGAGAGGGTTCTGGGTCTCAGGGAAGACCTGGCAAAGATTGTGGCTTGTGGGGAAGACGCAGTAGCTGAATTGCCAGGACATTTTGAGAGTGAAAGACGGTGCTACCAACGATCACGCCAGGACAAGGCAGGTAAAATCCAGGAGTGGCCCGGGCCTATGAGACCTTGAGTCCAGCGCTGTTCACAGAGAACTTTCCAGGATGATAAGGGTGTTCTGTGTCTGTCCCATCCTATACAGTAACCCCACCCGCATGTGGCTATTGAACACTCGAAATGCAGCTCATGCAACTGTGAGGAGATGAATTTTTAGCTTTATTTAATTTGGGTTAATCTAAATTTACATTTAAATAGCCACACGTGCCTAGTGGCTAATGTATTTGGACAGTGTAGCTCTGATCTTATTATTCGTAGGGACGGAACAGAACCACTGTTGACAGCAGCTAAAGCCCCAGGAACCGGCTTGCTGGGAGAGGCCCTCAATAGCAATTTGCTGAATAAATAAAAATTCAATAATCAAAAGTCACTGTGCTCCTTCTCCAGAGAGGAATTCAGACCACTCCTTGGAGACTTGTAGGAACTTCGAGAAACACGACTTCTTTGCCTGGGGCTAGCCCAGAGCTCAGTGACATTTCCTAGGCAATGTCCAAGGCCAATCCCAGGGCTGATGTTGGCTGTTGCGAGTGGCAGTGTCCTGAGCAGCTAGCTGGAAAGGTTCCCCGCGACTTGCTTTCAGTGCTTTCCTGGTAACATACTGAAAGCTGGCAGAGCCTCTGCCTGGCCAGAGAGCCGTTGTTCATCTGGGGTTTCACCAGCAACTTCTGAAAATTTCTTTCTCTCTCGGTGTTACAGATTTTGAAAGAGGCATTTTGTTTCCAATTATAAATTCCTGGGTGATGTCATTAAGTCCCCAAACACCCAATGGGGCTGCACTGAATAGGGAAAGACAATATGCTAACAAGTTATCTGGAGGTGTCAGAAAGGAATGATGAAAAACAGTCCAGTTGGGGGAAATGTTTTCCAGCCCGCTTTCTGGTTTTAGCAACTGCACGGGAAGAGATAAGACACACATGGCTTTTATAAGGAGACATCAGGATCTCTAGGGGACATGAGGCAGGAGAAAAGAATTGGGCTGAAAACATCCAATCATCACATATTCGCTGAGAAGGAGATTACAGTATAGCAGAGGAAGCTCTTCAAGGGGCTCCTACAGGGGACCTTTGGGGCAAAGATTCAGTGGGCTCGGGGACAACTTGACTTCAGCTGGATGGCATTTGAATAATCTGCTAGAGAGAAAACAGATATAGCACACATTGTCACATTTAGCGTCGAAACTCTCGGTTTGACTATGAGTAATGTTCAGCCATGCCTGGAGGTCAGGCCTACACTCACTCAGAAACAAGTAGGGAATTGAAGCAATTATTCAGATAATCCATAGACACAGCTACTGGCCAATGTTGCATCCCCGATTCAGCCCGGAAACAGTAACGCTATTATCAACTGTTGGTGATTTGTGGAGCTATCTTGAATTTATTAAGGAAAGGAGATTACAGAAAAACCCAGAATGCCAATGGAGACACATTCAGGTGGAGGCACACAGAGTAAAGGGAGACACTGAGGGCCTCCCACCCTGGGAAGGAACATCTTGTTTTCAGCCACGACGAAAATAAAACTTTGGGTTTAAATTTTGCAGATGGTTCAGGTCTCCATATCACTCTTTTTATGTGTGTAGTTGATACATTTTATGTTGGATTGTATTGGGGCCGAAAGGCAGAAAATGGCATAATAATAGCACATTAAGAATTTCAAGATAAACCCCGTCTCTACCAAAAATAGAAAAGAATTAGCCGAGCGTGGTGGTGCCGCCTGTAATCCCAGCTACTTGGGAGGCTGAGGCAGGAGGATCATCGGAGCTCAGGAGTTGGAGGTTGCCGTGAGCTGTAAAGATGCCACTGCACTCCAGCCTGGGTGACAGAGTAAGACCCTGTCTCAGAAAACAAACAAACAAAAAAGGCCAAACAAATAAATGAAAATTTTTATCTAATGTTGCAAAAATAATCCTAACTCAATAGTTTATACAATCAAATTTTATTCGTGATGAATTACTATGGAGTAAAACAATGACTATGTATAATAATTAAATATGTGTATCAAGGAATACAGTTTGTTAAGGGAACATGTGTGTGTGTGTGAGTTTTCTAAGAATGTGAGCAGCATTCTTACTGGATGATCTTACTACATGTCTCCCAGGGATTTTTAAATGACTTAGGTGTGCCTTTGTGCATCAGCAACTGAGTCTCCCTCTATTAGAATCTGCGCTGAGTAGTGTACTCCTGAGGTCTAAATAAAGAGCTTCAGTAGTAGTTTCTTAAACCTGAAATGCACTGTCTAGAGCAAGTTCAACTTCATTAGCCATTTGAAGAGAGATTTATTGAGCCAAAGGGAAGACCTCTCTGAATGGAGTGTGTCTTCCTTGATTTAAGTAACTGAAACAGCCATGACATTTGAGTGGTGGTTAGGTTCAGGTCTGAAACAATTTCTTCGGGAGTCAGCTATTGTTAGTGGTGAAAGATAGCACAGGGACTTAGGGGCTGGTTGCTCGGGGTGCAGTGTGCACAGTAACAGGTTGAATTTTAGCCTGTGGTTCACGGGTTGCAAACAGCTTTAGGGCCGGGCAGTAACATCAGTGCCTGAGGCTGGGTAAGGACATAGAGAGACAAGCTATAAGGAAACTGCAGGACTGCAAAGCACCTGACCCCCCGTAAGGCGATGGTCCCTCCTCAGCTCCAGAGGATGGGTTCCATGGGAGACTAAAGATTCAGTGCTGCCAGCGAGTTGGGTATTTTCGGGAAAAGCCCAATATTTGAATGTTTATATGAAATCTGACTTGGTAATGTTGAGTCAAATTTTATAATGCTGGGTCTAGTGCTGAGAAAAGGTGGCCTCTGTTGGCAACTGCTTTAAGGGCAACATGGCGCTAGGAAGGTGCTCTGAGCAGGGAGGACATAAATGCTCCCGCTTCCTGCTCTTCCTTCTCTCCGCGTCTCCTCTGACATGAGGCTGTCCGCAGCAGCCATGGCGAGAATGCTCTAGAATGGAGAGAACAGTAGCACAAGGTTGGGTGGGGGAGGCGTCACCCGATGGCAGCAAAGCCAGCTAGAATGTTCTGGCCACAGTCAGGATACAATTTGCCAAGAGTTAGGATTAAGGCAATGACAGTGAGGACAGAAGGGTGGGTTGAATTCCGGGACCACTTCTCAGGTGGAATCACAGGATTGGCGTCTGATTGGATGAGGAACGGGCACGTGTTAGAGAAAGGAGGATTTGAGGAAGGGAGTGATTTTCTTAGAGGTGGAAGTTACAGCATCTTGGCAGCTGACTCCACCCCACAGGTGTGTTTTGTTGACCACAGGGGGTTACAATTTCTTTCAATTTAATTTTCAACTCTTAAAAAATGGGAGCATTTGCATTCAAATCTAGATTTCCAGCTCCTTTTGGAGAGAAAAAAAAAAGTCTGAGGGTGTTAGGCATGGATTCCAATTAGGCAGCAGCAGCTGCAGCTGGGGATGGCGTTGCAGTTGGGAGTGAGGGAGAGGTATATGGACTCCCCAGTGTTCCCTTACCTGCCTGGCTTGTAAGATATTTGAGTCTGGGACCCCAGAGGGAACTGGTTGTGCAAGTTGTAGGAATATACGAGATCATTTGTGCAGGGCAGGAAGTTAAGAATCCCAGGCAACAGCCACATTTTAG